GTTGGGCTGCCCGGCGGGGCCGTTGGGCTGCCTGACGGGGCCGTTGGGCTGCCCGGCGGGGCCGTTGGGCAGCCTGGCGGCGCCGTTGGGCTGCCCGGCGGGGCCGTTGGACAGCCTGGCGGGGCCGTTGGGCTGCCTGGCGGCGCCGTTGGGCTGCCCGGCGGGGCCGTTGGGCAGCCTGGTGGCGCCGTTGGGCAGCCTGGCGGGGCCGTTGGGCTGCCTGGCAGGACCGTTGGGCAGCCTCGCGGCGCCGTTGGGCTGCCTGGCAGGGCCGGCACCCCTTCCGAGGCGACCCCTGCGCTGCGCAGGGCGCTTTCCGCCCCGCTCGCGTCCCTGCCCGCCCGCGGACGCCGCGGACGCGTGAGGCGGCGGGCGGGCTCCCCCCAGCGGCGACGGCCTGGCGGGCGCCGCAGTTTCACTTTCTGTGCCTCGCGCTGCGCCGAGTGGGAAATCAAAACTAAGCGGCGGGCTGGGCGCTGCTGCCCTCTGATGCGGCGGGCGGGAAGCGCGGCGGCGGGCCAGGCAGCGGCGCGAGGAGCGGCGGCAGCAGCAGCAGCGCCGCGGCAGCAGCCTGCGCGCGCCTGGCTGAGCGGGACGGCGCCGCGGGGACTGGGGCTGCTCGGGCGGAACCTGCGCGGGCGCCTCGAAGCCTCCTCGGCGGAGCGTGAGGTAACGGGGGGCTGCATGGCGCCGCTTGCCGCGCTCCGAGGTGTCCTCGCCGCTGCTGGCTCGCACCGCTTGGGTGGCTCTAAGTTTCTTTTAGTTGTGGGAAATAGCTCTCGTATTCGAGCAGGTGGAAGGGTTCAAAGATTGCTGCACGCCACGAGCCAGGGAGTGGAAATGCTTCATGATATTAGCGGTTGAAAACAGCCCTTTGGCCATTTAAACAGAATTATTCTTTAATGAAAAAGAAAAGAAAAAGAAAAAGAAAAAGAGAAAAAGAAAAAGAAAAAGAAAAAGCTGAGCAAATACAGACTTAACTGGAAAAAGAAAAATTCTCATTTGAGGGAGGGAAGCGTGGAGGTGAAGGGCTGGCGTGCAACCTGCCGGCGCAGATTGCAGCGCAGCCAGTCAGGGAGAGCCTCTGGGCTGCCATTTCTCCCGGTGTCTCGGTCACTCTCGTCTGCCCCATCTGCTATCCCAGTGCCTCTGGTCGCCTCTGGTCTGGTGCTTGAGGCCTTTGCGGGGGGAAAAAGGAGGCATGGTGTTGGGAAAGAATGGCACACAAGGGAGTGAGGCAATGCTGGGGTTACTGAGGCCGTCAGGGACTGCTAAACGCTTGGAGTGTTGCGGAGCTGGGGCGAAGATATGGCCGAGGGTGGCCGCAGTACAGGGTGTGAAGGGACCAAGGGGATTGGTCCCTAGAAGCTGGTGTCCTACCATGGCAGGAGGGCTGTGGAGCAGAGTGTTCATAGAGGGGAGCGCGCTGGGCCCGGAGGGAGGAGGAGGGTGCGTGAGAAGCCTCCGTTCCTGGCAAGATGGGTGATGTGACGGATGGGGGAGTTGCTGCTGCCTTTTCTCTTTGCAGGGTTAGTGTGCAGCTTGTCCGAGCCACGGCAAGTCCGGTGAGGGATCAGCACTAGATTGTGCTGCTGATCTGCTGAGGAAACTGAGGAGAGACCCTGCTCTTTCAGTGCTCTTATGACAGGAAAAGTTAGCGTTAACCAGGGAGCCTGCTCCTCTGTTCCGGAGGTTACTCAACTCTTTACTAATATTTATGCATACTTTTTTTTTTTTTTTTTTTTTTCCTGGCCAAAATGAGGCAGCTCCATGCAAGGGTTAGGAAGTTCTACTCATATTCCTAACACAGGATTCCTGTTAGCTCAATACCTGTGGGCGTAGGGGAGAGTTTCATCAAGTCAGAGGCCCTAAATTCTCTCATCTCTGCATCCCCCTGAAATTCCCTGTCCTAGTCTCGCTACTCAAGTTTCCCAAATCACCCAAAGCCTCTTAGTCCTGCGTTTGCCCACAAATCCCGCTCTTAATCATACCTTAACTCTAACTTTACTGCCAAAGCGTCTGTCTTCCACGTTCTCCTCATACCCCACACATCCGTAGCTGCTATTCAGCTATACGTGTTTCGCCCTTTTATCCCCCTCCTTTCTGCTTCCTGCGGTGAATTTTAGTATATCAAATTTGCATTTGAAAGTAGTATTAGTATTGGTGAAAAATATCTTTAAAGTTAAAAAATATTGTTTGAAAAAAACATTATTTTCTAGTTTTCAGAAACTAGTAGGCACAGTTTATGTGGGAAAAACCACACTTTTAAGGCAAAGATTTTCTTTTCATAACATTTTTTTTTTTTTTTTTCTGGTGTCACTCTGTGATTCTTTTATCATCTGTCATGGCCTCATGCTTCTGTTAAATTCCGCTCAGTGTTCTAAAAATATTTTTTTCTGTGAAAGTTTTCCTAAAGGTATTTTTCCTATACAGATATCTTTTCGCATTCTGTTTATCTGTTGAAGGACTTTTATGAACCTTTCCTTTTTATTTGTTTGCTTTCTAACACTTATCCCATGTTTTTGCTTCCATTATGTTTCTTAAAAAAAAAAAAAAAAAAAAGAAGAAGAAGCTATTAATTCTAAGAGTCTGTAATGAGTAATGGTCCTTGTAATGGCACTTTCAGCCTTCTGCTTAAAATCAGGGAATTTAATTGCTTGCTTAAATTTAAATTTAATTTATTTTTTAAATTAAAATTTTTTAATTAAAATTAAAATTAAAAATTAAAATTAAAATTAATTTTAATTTAATTTTAATTTTAATTTTAATTGCTCTTGCTTGCTCCCTTTGCCTGTGATTATATACCAGAGCATCTAAAGGAAAATGCATTTAGATTCTGAGCCTATTTAAATTTAAAGATTAGAGTCCAAAGTGCCACAGTAGAGCTATGATTAAGACGCTTAAAGCAATACAAAAAGCAACCACTTACAAGCTCAAAAGGTACAAGAAGGTGAAATTTATGCCCTTGAAATATTTAGTCAGTTTTGGACTATAAAGCATTGTTGTTACCAAATATATTTGCTATGTTTGCTATCTGGGAAAATTTTGATGGTATTCTTGAACCAGAATCTTCTTGAATGAGGGTATTTGGTATTCCCTGGAGAGATGGAGTTGTTTGTATGGAACTGAATGGTCCTTTATTTTGACACAGGAGGAGGATGGGCTGTAACCTGTCAGGTCTGTAACCTTGCTAATAGCCTGTTTACCTACCATAGTTTCTGGGATGTACTAAAAGCCATCACAGTAATCATTTTATTGCCATTCTAGCTTTTTTTTTCCATCATGCAAATGCCAAATACAGAGATTAACTTTATTTTGTGAGCATTCCCCATCTTTCTCTTCTCTCTGTGTCTTTCTGCAGTCCTTGCATCATTGTGTTGATGGGCCAAGGAAGTGGACGTCAAGAAAGAAGCAAGAACCAAGATCTGGCAACAAGTGACACCATGCAGGCAGAAGAGAATGTACAAAGTGATAATGGGGAAACCAGAGAGACAAAAACCAGAGATGAGAGGCTGAGGCTGGTCTTTGGCATGGCAGACTTAAAAAATAGTAATAATGTTTTATCTACCACTGCGATATTTTCTGTCTCTAGTGCCTTCTTCTCCCATTTATTCCATGCTTTATCCTTGGGCTTCATTTTATCTTATTCTTCTTCTTTTTGTCTTATTCTTTATTGCTTTACCTGCAAGTATAAAGAAGATTCTAATTTGGTCTTGCCAAGTGATTGCTTTGTGTTTAGGGAAGGGATTACATGGTGATTCCACTTTTGAATGCTCAAATGGAGCATTGCAACTGAGGAGGACAGATACTGGCCATGTGTCTTCCTAAATGTTATTCTGGATTTGCTGAACTGTGGGCCACCTCTTGATTACTGTATCACTCGGGCTTCCCAAAAGCTGTAGTCAGTATTGCAGGAGTAATCAGCATGGATTCACCAAGGGGAAATCATGCTTGACTAACCTGCTAGCCTTCTGTGATGGAAATGCTAGCTGGATAGATGAGGGGAGAGTGGTGGATGTCATCTGTCTGGATTTTAGCAAGGCTTTTGACACTGTCCCTCACAGCATCCTCCTGGGCAAGCTCCGAAGGTGTGGGATAGATGGGAGGATGGTGAGGTGAGTTAAGAACTGACTGGATGGCAGAGCTCAGAGGGTGGTGATCAGAGGTGCATAGTCTGGAGCCTGTAGTAGTCCTCAGTCTAGTTCTGTTCAGTTTACTCATCAGCGACCTGGATGAAGGGACAGAGCATTCCCTCAACAACTTTGCTGATGATATGAAACTGGGAGCAGTAGCTGATATCCCAGAGGGCTGCACGGCCCTCCAGAGGGACCTGGACAGACTGGACAACTGGGTGGTGAGAAACCTTATGAAATTCAACATGGGAAAGTGCAGGGTCCTGTACAGGCTGGGGACTGACCTTGTGGAGAACAGCTCTGCAGAGAAGGACCTGGGCGTCATGGTGGACAACAAGTTGAGCAGTGTGCCTTCGTGGCCGAGAACGCCAATGGGATCCTGGGGTGCATTAAGAAGAGCGTCTCCAGCAGGTCGAGGGAGGTGATCATCCCCCTATACACAGCCCTGGTGAGGCCTGGAGACTGTGTCCAGTTCTGGGCTTCCCAGTACAAGAAGGATATGGAGCTGCTGGAGAGAGTCCAGCGCAGGGCTACCAGGATGATCAGGGGCCTGGAACATCTGCCCTATGAGCAAAGGCTGAGGGAGCTGGGTCTGTTCAGCCTGGAGAAGGGAAGGCTGAGGGGGGACCTGATCAGCGTGTATAAATACCTCAAGGGAGGCAGTGAGGAGGAGGAGGTGGCCTCTTTGCAGTGGTGGCCACTGACAGAACTAGAAAAAACAGCCACAAACTGAAGCACCAAAACTTCCACAGGAACTTAAGGAAACACTTCTTGACAGTGAGGGTGACAGAGCCCTGGAACAGGCTGCCCAGAGAGGTTGTGGAGTCTCCTTCTCTGGAGATCCTCAAAACCCGCTTGGATGCCGCCCTGTGCCACGTGCTCTGGGTGTGCCTGTGTGTGCAGGGAGTTTGGACTAGCTGATCTCTAAAAGTCCCTTCCAACCTTAATGATATCAGATATATCCCCTCATTACACTGACTGCATTTCCCTGTTGCTCTGAGTTTCCATTTCACGTATTCACCCTCTCTGGTGATGACTTCAGAAGAAAAACTCCTATTTTCTAACCACGGTTTACCCTTTTGGGGCACAGCATAGGCTTTTCTTTTATATGCAGTGTAAACTGCTGTGATTTGCTTTTCTCCATTTCCCTCAGGCAAGTTCCCTTTCTTTGAAATTGATACCAAAAAGTACCAGGCGTGTGCTGAAGGGAAACCTTGAAGCTGGTATGGCAGCAGCTAAAATATGACTTAGCTCTTCATTTAGTGATTAACCCTGGCTGTGTAAAAGGCTGAATAAAAATCTTCATACAGGCAACCTTTGACTTTGTTGTATTGGTTTTGTATTTAGGTAGATGGTGGGAGGACTGAAAATGGAGGAACTGGGAGATGCAGGAGTCTAATAATCTACATTTCCCTAGATTTTTTCCTTTCAATTGGCAGACAAATATAATCTGTCTGAGAACATAAGAATAACTCGATCCTTTTTCTAAGGTGTGATCAAGATGCTGGGCCTGTGTGCTGAACAGTTGAAAAAGAGGAAAGAGGATTTTACAACTTTTTAATATTCTTCATTTTTTTCCTTATATATTTCTCTAAACATCATTTCCTCTTTTCCTGTGCCTACAGAAGCTATTGGACTGTACAATATTGGACAGACCTGCTGTTTGAACTCTCTACTCCAAGTGTTCCTCATGAATACACACTTCACTGGGATACTGCGAAGGTACAAAATCTTCAAACTCCATGAGCTATTTCAGCTGCTCTTCTGTTGTCTCCACTTTGTATGGGATGTATGTTAGAAGGGTTGGATCATCAAGAATTGCTAGGTTATTTCAGATCATTCAGCTAGGTCTTTGCCTCATTCTGCATGCAGAACGAAGACAAAGGCCTAACATTTGTAGTATTTATGGTTCTACAACTTGTTAGTGATCTTTGATTCATAAGACATTTGTACAACAGTATGCTGCAGTCTTGAGCGGAGTCTTTATGACTTATATCTGTCTTTGTTTTCCAAAACCAAGATACAGTCTTATTCCAGGTGTGCCCATAACCTGATTCATCCAAAGGATGTGTTCTGTGTAACTATATGCACTGTTCATTTTGTAACTTTAAACATGTAAATGAAAATATATTGGTGATCTATAATGTCTGTCCCCCTGTTGCCTTGGTTAACACTTGATAGAGATAAGTAGATATTGTGGCAGATGGTGAGTACGTGATCTGTCTCAGTTATACTCTGCCACTTATTTATTTATTTATTGCTTAACTGTCCTCTTTACTTAATTGTGACCAGGATTTGGGCTTCTGCCTCCCTGCTAACCATATTAGCAACTGGTTTGATTTGTTCTTAATTTGCTTAATTCACTGTAGCTCTAGTCATTTAAGTAGATTTTCGTTCTTCATTCCTATTCTGCAAATCTTTTGCACACTTAGAAGTGTGCTGAGTGGAGAGAAGATGAATTACACGTGTGCAAACAAGATAAATGTCATAGGTGTGTAAAGGTAGATAATGAAGGCAGTAGGTTTCTGTTATTATTTGAAGAAAAAGATAGAAAAACTTGCTGAATGCAAGAAATCTAGGGAGGATAAAGGACTTCCTAGTTGCCATATAGCTAAAATGTAAGCATTATGACATATCTGTCCATAAAATTTTGAGACTATGTTGAGAAGGAAAGGAGGCAGCTCTGAAACTGGGCATAACTAATGTTTTTTTTCTAGGCAGTTCAGGTCTCCCTCAGTTTGCCCTGCGTCCAGGAATTGGACAACTTAAAATTGTGACCTCTTTAAAACTGTTAATCTGCACTGCAGAGTGAGCTAGTGTAGGTGTCTGCTTCCCCTTTTTCCTCCTTTTCTTGAAAACGTGCCTGTTCTGGTTCCTTTTGAATATTTGGACCAACTACCTCTGTTTCTTCAGGTATGATGTTTCCCTTTTCTCCGTTGTACCATTTGGTTTTTATTTGTGATGCTTCTTCTCTTTATAGGATCACAGTGCCACCAAGTGCCTCACAGAAAAGCAGGAGTGTCCCATACCAAATGCTCTTGCTGCTGGAGAAGATGCAGTCTGGCAAGCAGAAAGCTGTTTGTCCTAAGGCCCTTGCTTACTGTCTTTCACTGCACAGGGTGAAATGTAAGCAGCTCTGCTTCACACCCACTTCTGCCCACTGACCAGAGGATGTTATCAAGCACAAGCAGTGTAGACTTTGACATCTCATTCAGTGGTTTCTTAATGTGAGGGGAGGGTACACAGTGACATAGTGCTCTTTGTAGCCACCTCCCAGTCATGAGTGGGATTCTGGGTCTTACTTTCATGAGGAGGGAAAAAAAGCTCCCCCTCACTGCAAATTATATCCAGTGCCTCCAAGTTTTGCCTCTGGTAAGGAGTATTTGGGTTCCTGACGCTATTGCAAAGGAACTTTCGAAAACTGGGTCTAATGATGGAGAATAAATCCTCATTTGCTATGTAAGGGAAGTCTGTGTTTGGTCCTGTACATCATACTGAATTATGCTTTTTGTTTATTAGTGTTTGTGCAGTATGATGCTGTTCAGCTCCTTCTGACTCTCTGGAACTTGATAAAGGGGCAGCTGACAAACCCAGAGCTGGTAAGGATGATGACTGAAATGAAACTTTGAAATGAACCTTTTGGTCCTGGCCACATAGGGTTTCCTCTGCTTCTCTAAGGAGAAAAGTCTCATTTTCTGACAGTTGTCTTACATGAAATTCTGAAGCCCCCGTTTGCATCCTCCCTTACATCTCTTAGATGTGGGCAGACTTGCTTTCATAAGCGTCAGCAGTTTGAATCACTGTTAACTTTTCTTTGTCCTATGTCATTTGAGGTTCTCCTTTCTAGTGAGAGAGTCTGTTAATACAAAAGTTGATCTTTCTGCAAAATGCAGTTTGCTTTCCTTGCATTTCCTTTTCCTCAAATTTCTGTAAGTACTAATTGGTGTGTCTTCACACATCTCTTTCATTCACTGAAGACATTCATGGACATTTAATTATTATCAGTCACTGTTTATATGTTACATGTGTGACAATTTCTTCTAGGGGAACTATATAATATAAGAAAAAGTGACTCTTCCACATCCTAGTATTTTTTTTTCCACACAAAGGACGGGCCTGGGTTTCAATTCTATTCAAAAGAAGAAAACTTTGCATTAAAGCAGACATCTAACGGTCCTTGTTAGTTTGCCTCTTTCCCTCTAACGGTCCTTGTTAGTTTGCTTCTTTCCCTCTGCTAGGCAATGAGAGGAAGGGGTTGTTCTCCTTTAAATGATGGGAAATGTCTTACCCATAAATGTCAATGTCAGATTTAAGGCTCAAGCCATGAAGTGACACTCTATGAAATGAGATGTCCACACAAGCTTCCCCCCTCACAGAGGAGATGCCTCAGTGTGTTCTTCACAGACCTTGTTTTGGATTTTTCAACCTTCCAGATTGAAAAGCTGTGTGATCTGTACACTATCTGGGTACAGGAGTACATGGTGTGTCAAGAGTGTTCATTTGAAACAAAAAGGAACAGCAACATGATAACCCTTCCACTCTCAATGTTGGATTCCAGTTGTCACCTGCTGAAAACATTGGTAAGTTCAGTGACAGTAATGTACCCTTAAGAAGATTGCCCTGTATTTGCCATGGAGGCATTCTCCTTATTCCAAGGGTTTCCTGTAACCTCCTATTTAAAGCTGACTATAGACACACCTGCATTCCCGCACGTGTAGCCATGTGAACACCAGCAGAAGTGATTTAAAAGAGTTAGAGTGTTGGTGTTTACATGGGTACACGTGCAGGTATAGTCAGTTGTAAATAGAAGGGCTTCTTGGTAAGGAGAAGATTTATAGTTATCTTTTTGCTGACTTTTAAACTTTTTTTTTTTTTAAGGATAGATGAATCACATTGATTTTGTGTGTCTAATGTAGAGCCTCTTTATTTTCAGAGGTCAGTGCTAAATGAGTGCTGCCAAGCTGAACGGTCTTAAGCAAGACCTTCAGAAATTAAAGCATTTAATGCCATTAAGCATTTAAAGACAGGTAGGTCAGAAAGTCCAGTTCAGTTTTCTGCATTTGGTTGTACTTCCTACCTCTGCTTCACCGAGAGTCTTCTATTACAATTTTTGTTCCTGAATTTAGTCTTTGTACTCATAAGAATAAGGGCTATGCTGCCTCTGTCACTCTCCTTTTTGCTGGAAAACAAAGTAAACTACATTGTTAGAGCTTGAGTTAAAGAAAAATGGAGAACTGAAATATTGTTTGGTCTGACTTTACCAAATTCTCCTTCAATTTTATTTGGTTAAAATATTGGTTAATACCACAGTGACTAAAAGCTTTTGCAGCTCTGCTTGCGTGGATCACTGAGCACTTCACATTTTGTACATGGTTGTATAGCTGTCCAGGAAAGAGCTTAATTAACATTGCTTTTTTAACATAAAAATGTAATATTTTTACTTGCAGTACTTGGTTTCATTCCTTAATTCATGATAAAAGAGAGAGAACTAATTTGTATTCTTTTGTCTTTTGAATAAAAACACCTTCTATGGCTTCATTCTTAGCATGTATCATGTGAAACCAAGTAGACATAAAAATCTTGACTTGAATAAATTAATCTGAAAGAGATCTTTTTTATTTTTTTTGTCTTGTTAGGAGGAGTGTCTGCAATGCTTTTTCTGTCCAGAAGAGCTGACTGGTCAGAACATGTGTTTCTGTGAACACTGTGGAAAGAAAACACCTTTTACGCAGGTACGCAGAGGAGAGTTTCCTTGTATGAAGGAAATGTATGTTGGACCTCACAAGGTTCAACCGGGACAAGTGCAGGGTCCTGCACCTGGGGAGGAATAACCCCAGGCATCTATACAGAAGTGGGGCTGACCTGCTGGAGAGCAGCTCCGCAGAGAGGGACCTGAGAGTCCTGGCTGACAAGAAGTTAACTGCAAAGCAGCAGTGCCCTGGTGGCCAAGAAGGCCAGTGGGATCCTGGCTGCATCAGGAGGAGTGTGGCTAGCAGGTCAGGGGAGGGAATCCTGCTCCTCTGCTCAGCTCTGGGGAGGCCGCACCTGGAGTATTGGGGACAGTTCTGGACTCCTCAGGACAAGAGGCACGTGGAGCTTCTAGAGAGGGTCCAGCGGAGGGCAACCAAGATGATTAAGGGACTGGAGCATCTCTCATATGAGGAGAGACTGAGTGAACTGGGCCTGTTTAGCCTGGAGAAGAGAAGACTGAGAGGGGATCTGATTAATATGTATAAGTTCATTTAGGAGGAATGTAGGGAGGAAGGGGTCAAGCTCTTCTCAGTGGTGGCCAGTGACAGGACAAGGGGTAATGGATGTAAGTTGAAGCACAGAAAGTTCCATCTCCAGGTGAGGAGGAACTTCCTCCTGTGAGGGTGACAGAGCCCTGGCACCCTCCCAGGGAGGCTGTAGAGTCTCCTTCTCTGGAGGTCTTCCAAACCCACATGTGTCCTGTGCTCTGGGCGTCCCTGCTGGAGCAGGGGGTTTGGACTAGATGATCTCTAGAGGTCCCTTCCAACCTCAACCATTCTGTGATTTTGCGATTCTGTGATACCGTATGTCTCTTCTACTTAAAAGTCCCTTTAGGACTGGGAAGGGTGGGGAAGGATGCAATTTTATTAGTTTAGGAGGAGACCAGGAAGTCAGAGTTTTGTCAGCCCAGCAGTATCGGCTAGGTGTAAACCACATGCACATTTCTTGTCAGGAAGAACCCTGCTCTGTTGACAAAAGCGTGCTTGCATTGGTTTCGATGTATATCGTTAGGGAGGTGGTGTTTCTGAACCAGCAAGAAAGCTTCTGTTTTCTGTCTGTGCCTGGCAGGAAGAGCCTGCTGCTTGTGACATCCTTCTACCAGCCTGGACTTGGTATGCTGTGTGCTGTGGCTGCTTTTGTTGCCTAAACAGTCCTTAGCACTATTGCCTTGCGGGCCATGATCTGTGAGTGGTGGACAGTGATAAGACAAGAGGTAACGGCCACAAACAGAAGCATAGGAAGTTCTGCCTGAATATGGGGAAAAACTTGACTGTGAGGGTGACAGAGCACTGGAACAGATTGCCCAGGGAGGTTTTGGAGTCTCCTCTTTTGGAGATACTCAAAACCTGCCGGGACACAATCCTGTGCAAAGTGCTCTGGAAGACCCTGCTAGTGCAGGGGGCGTGTACTAGATGATCTCCAAAGATCCATTCCAACATTCATCATTCTGTGATCAGATGGAGCAGGTGTGGGAATTCTATCAGCCTAGGGTTAGGAAAGTAGATGTGATAATAAAATTGCCTGTCCGATGCCTGAGGCTGAGTCCTGATAATGCTGAAGTTGACCAGGTTGGCCATCACAGACCCATTATATATGTCTCCCGTGTGCAGATGGGCTACAAAGTTTGGTACCTGCATTCCGGAGGAAATGGAGTTCATTCACTGTAGCGCCAACCTCTCTCCATGCCATATTCACTGGCTTGTAATAACTGCTTCTATCTCCAGCTTCCCCAGCTTTGTTCATTAGTTTTCAATTACATTATTTATTGCTTTGCAGAGCATGAAGTTAGCCCATCTGCCACAGACCGTGATCTTACACCTAAAGCGCTTCTGCTTCAGAAAATCAGCCTCCACCCACAAGCTTTGTCACTATCTGTCCTTCCCACAAGACCTTGATTTCAATGCAGTCTTGACAGAAGAGCAGTGTCAAACAGATGCCAGTGAAAAGGTGAGATGCTTCTAACACCTTGTCCAAAAAAAAAAAAAAAGGGCAGATATTCTTCTCTTCCTTACTGAAATTCATTAAAAACACAGAACTTAGGCTGGTGCTCACCCCAGTTCAAACCACATGTCTTTAAAAAGTATGTTTTTAGCTGTGCCTGCTGTTGTCTCACATACCATGTTTTTTACCAGTTCAGACATTATCCCAGCCTTTGTCCTTGGATTAAATTGTCAAAGGCGCTATGACCTGAACTTTCTGTCCTAAGGACAAAAGAGGGCTTTACTCAAAAAAAGAAAAAACAAAAAAAAACCACCTTTCTTTTCTGAGATCAGTTAGCACTTGGCTCTTACATTTCTAAATACACTGCAGAAGATATTAAAAATGTAAAATGATGTATTCAGTTGTTACCAACATTCTAAAGGCAATTTCTGGCCTGTGATTCAGCTTCCAGGGTAAGATGACCTCAGTGAGCAGCAGGCCAATTGCTTTGCAGAGGCTGGAAGCCCAAGATAAGGTAATTCCACTTCTGGCAATTCCCCACACAGTGTCTACCACATGGTTACGGTTGGCAGGGAAACAGCTTTGCCAAGCAACTGAGTGACCTGCCACATTGTGGATATTTTTCCCCTTGCAGAGAAATAGCAGGAGAGAGAGCTGTGTTGGCTGCAATGTCATCTCTGTGCTGTTCCATGGTGCCTTTTGCCCCATTCCTGTGATCTTTTTTTTCCAGGGAGGTTTCCAGCCTATTGCTTTCAGGAAAAAGTCTGAGAGTAAGAGTGACGAAGACTGGATCTTCAATCTAATCTTTCTACTTTTTCCTTATGAAATGCATGTTCCTGGTGTCCTGCCTGCTGCTGCTTCTCACCAGTCAGTGGTGAATCAGAATTGCTGCAATGAAATTTTCCTTGTGACTCTTCCCAGGCTTCCTGGCAATATGAACTCTTTGCCGTTGTGGCTCATTCAGGATCAGCTGATTGTGGACACTACTGTGCCTATATTCGGAGCATCACGGAGTGCAAGTGGTACTGTTTTGATGATTCCGAGGTTTGCCAGGTAAGGAGCAACATCCACAATTCTTTTGTAGCTTTCTGGACTCCTCCAGATTTCTTTCACTCTGAGTGCTGATTAAGGAAGAACCAGGAGAGAAAACAATAGCTGCAGAGTTTTGTGCACTTCATTCCTCTGCTACAGAATGCACTGAGCTGAGTGCTAAACAGCTCCAGCTTATATACCAAGCAAGACAACAGGTGCTAGGTTTATTTTACAGAAGTAGCCATTCACTCTATACCCTCTTTAATGCACTCTAGCTCTGATTGATGCATATACTCAGAAGACTCAGATCTAGAGATAAACTTATTTTCATTGAGGAGAAAGAACTTTCTTCATTAAAAGATTTGTAGTTTATGGAAGTATAACACTTGCAAGGATTGTAGTGCTGGTGTCACAATATACCCATCTCCTTGAGATGTTTATGGGCTCTTCTTGTGTCTTTGTTCTTCTCCAGGTATTGTGGGATGATGTTAAATGCACATATGGACATTCAGAGTTCCACTGGTAAGCAAAAACCTCTCTTTTACCTAGTGCTGCTCAGAAAACTGGCAAGAAAATAGCAAAGACAGGGCAAATAAGCAAGTTTGACTGCATATTGCCTGGGATGTACTGGGTGTGCAGAAGTTTAGAAGAAACATATACTTGTATTCTTACTGCTTTGACTGTACAGGGCTATAGGGTCAGCCTGCAGGAATGCAGTGTAGTCACAAATGCAGTGCTGGAGCTTTCATAAGTTTTGCCTGTACCTAGTGCCACCCAGGCCCTAAACCTTGATTAAATTTAAGTACTTTAGTCAGCGTTCCTACATAACTTAGGTCCTGATGTGCCTTTGAAATGAGCCATGGAGAGATGATCCCTGTCTGTGAGGGAGGGAGAGACCTCCACTGCCAGGAGGTTAGCATTACATCCTGCTTCAGGAATGATAGGAAGGGCCAGTTCAGTAGACCTGGCCTGAAAAAAACTGAGCAGAACTAAACCTGGGAAGATTAATTGCAGCTGTGATTGCATAGATCCTCAACCTACCTTTTTACTTTTGCTTTTCCCTTCCTTCCACAGGGGACAAACAGCCTATCTGTTGGTTTACATGAAAAAAGATCTCCAAGAGCCTTATCCCGGACTATCAGAGAATCTTAGGAAGCTGTCCCCGTCATTCTGACCTGGGTGTGGAGCTCAGCACCTCCATTCCACTGTGGATAGGCACAAATGTTTCACAAGAGACACCTGCACTCAATCAGCAACCTTCTGCCTTTACTAAAAGTGCAGTAGAAGCTCAGCTAGAGAAGGGTTATAAGCATCCCTGAAGGTTTCTTTTGTGGCATACAATTATTTTTTACTCTATCCTGGATACTTGTGTGATTCAATGAGATACTTTCCTTTTAAAACATAGTAAAGATAGTCCTTGTCCCTGCAGACTTACCAATTTTTTCTGTTGCTGATGCCTGTATTCCAACAGAGGGGCAATTTCTGCCTGGGAAGCCAGCATGTTGTTCCTGGGGTGCATATGATTGCTGTGACCTAAACAATAAAACTGTAAAGCTGTAAGATCTTGAAGCTTACCCTAATGCTCTAGGGTAGCTAGAGCATTGATAAGGTGAGCTAGGGACCCCAAAAGTCTTCAGAAACAGCTGAAAACATGTCCAAGACCTTTATGATGATCAGTGAAATCTGTTCCTAAGAATCTTGCTAAAGATGAGTCACTGCAGCATTTGAGATGTGACTGAAAATTAGTATCATAGAGGTGCCTTTGAATCAGAGCTCTTACAGTACTTCTGATGTACAAGATGAGCCTGCATGTGTTTATGCAGATGTTTATGGTTTTAGCATACTATTCATTTATATTAATTTTCTTGTATTATGGAGGAGAATAATCAGAGGGGCAGAGGTGCTGAAGATCCTTAGTGATTTTTTCACAACACATTCTGTGCACTGTGGGGAGAGGCAAAATCAGACACCTCTTTGGCCTGAACTTTGGAGATTTTCCTTTAGAATTTTTCAGCCTATTGCTAGTAAGAGTTGTCTTACTCCCTTCCTTCTCCTTTCATGAACTGGAAATGTCCCTCAAGCAGAAATTATTCTGTAGAGAGCAATTTTATAAAGAAAAATGAGTCGTTTTTAAATTTCCAGTTAAGTGCTGTCATTGTGCTTTCAGTTCAGCCTGTGCTGCCATGGCAGGACCATGCAGCTGAAAGGAAAATGCTGAAGGAGCTGCCAAGGAAGATTGGTAAAACGTGACAATCGTAAGAAGAGCATTCTAAAAATCTCACAAGACTTATCCCTGAGCAAAGATTAAAAGTTTGCTTATGATGCTTTTAAAGCACTCACTATGCAAGTCTTGATGGGCTGCCTTCTGTGAAAGGGTCAGTGATTCCAGTAACATACCTAAAAACACTTCATAGCCTACCAGCGTTCTTTGGCACTGTCTTTGGCAGAATCCATTTAAAATATACTAGTTGAATAACTATTGTGCCTATTTATAATCTCATTTACTTAGATGATGATGATGATGAACATCTCCACTGTTTTCTGTTAGCAGGTGGAAAGTGATTGGAGAGTGCTTAATGCCTAGCTGTGAAATTCAATTATTATGAACTAGCAAGTATTTATTTCATTTTATTATCAGGGTCCGTTATTCTGTCTGACCTGTACATTCTTCTATTTTTATTGTTTATTCTGCTGAAAAATAAATCCTGATTTATTGTTTGTGACTCAGCCGAGCAGTTGTAAACCAGTTCATTTTGAGGAATACTGTATATACTTTCTGAAATACCTTTCAGCCATCGAGTAAGAAAAGCAAATTCTTGTGTGCTTTATCCAGTACTCTGTATATGTGAAATAGCTGAAGGACTGTGAGGTTCCAGAAACGGAGAAGATAATGAGTAAAGAGACTGGCAAAGCATTTCTAATTTGTTATAATTTGAATTTTAAAAACAAGCTTTTATGCTTATGAAAAAATGTCTCAAATGTGTAATAAGCAGTAAGAAAGTACTTGTTGACATACATTAAATCTTTTCAGTCAGTGCTTGTGGGGGAAAAAAATCACAAGCGTTTCCCTCTTTGAAGGGACGAGTTCCTTTAAAATAAACCTCTTGATGGTTTTGTTTTCTCCAGCAGCATAAATGTCTCTGTTAGGACCTGTCATTGCCTAGTGCTGAGGATCTCTTCTGACCTCTAGTGACAGCACAGTTCAATTACTGAATGTTCCTGTGAGCCGGGTGTCTTCTGGTGTGCTTCGAGTTAGGGGTGGGTTAAGTGCCAGACCCGATCTTGTCAGACCATGCCCAAAGCTTAGGCCCGTGATGCTGGAAGACCCAGTGATCCTGGATCTCACAGGGGTCCTCAGGGACACGTTCAGTATTAGCTGTTGGAGCATCTCAGGGAGAATAGAGATGCTCTAAGAGTAGCAAGAGAAAACACGCTATGATTTGTGAACTGCCTGTTATTCTTCACTGAATGGGATTTCAAATATTTTATATATTATGTTTAAATAAGACATGTAGGCTAATTAATGTTAAATCATCACACCTCTGTGTTTTTAGGTGAAACTTCTGTCCTAAAGCACTATTGTTCATTTTGACAGTAGTTCAGTGCAGTTTCCATCTGAGAACTGTAGCTAGGAAATAAACAGTGCAGAGATACTAACTGCAGTAGTGTGGGTGCTTAGGAGCAAAGATCACTATTGAATTATATGTGAATAATTTTTCTAGGGGCTTTAGCAGAGCACAAAAAAAGGTGCTGCTAGGCAGTGCAGTTCAGGAGAATGATGCCAAATTCTTATATTTAGGCTTATCAGTCGAAATTTCCTGGTTTGACACTATGCCAGCTTTGATAATACCAACTTTAAAAAACTCCATCTCACCTGTCTCAGCTTGGCACTGGGTATGTAAAAATACAATCTGGACTTCTGCCAGAAGTCTCAGCACAGCCTTGGGGCCACCTCATAGGAATTGTGAATATTTGCACTGTCACTGTGCAAATGAAGCCTAGCACAGATAACAAAGCCTTTAAAAGGCAGGATAAGGCCAAAAGCACAAGAGAGGTTTTGTAGATCCTGGTAACTCTCCCCTTTCTATTTGTTTTGGGACTACCAAGTCTTAAGGGAAAGGGACGCTGAGACAGGAGTAGAGCAGTAGCAAAATACAGAGATCAGCTGCTTCACCTCTGGCAGATTCATTGTCACGTTCAGATATCGTCTGTTTTCAAGGCAAATATAAAAGTAGAATTTATATGCATATCTGTGTGTAAATAACGTGTGTGTCTGTGTATGTGTGTGTATATGTACATATATGTGTCATTTCTAAAATTTTGATATTGAGTAATCCCCCAAATTATACCTGAGTGTAAAAAGGACATACATTGGAATAAGACGTAAAAAAAATATTTCCTTTTTACTAGGAATTCTTATTTACTTCTTATTTAAGTAAATTCTTATTTATTCTTATTTACTAGGGTCAAATTATTAACTGGTTATGATGGTGTTTAAATAAAAATGATGCAAAATGGAGTTCCAGATTAACAGAGATCTTCAAAAAAGACCACATCCTAATATGGACTTAAAAATATATGCTGGTAAGATTGTAGTTATTCTAAATAATGTAATGTGTATATCATATTCTTGTCATTATGAGTAATTTTAACAGTAATAGATCAATCTGTTTTGTCTGATCCATTACAGTAATGATACCTGTGATAATTCTTCCACAAAGGAACTGTAAGCCATCAAAGGCAGCTTCCTCCAACAGGACTTACCTTTGACAGGCACATTCGCTTAGCAAATTCCTCACAGATAGGTCTCATCAAATCCAATCACAGCAGCCTAGGATTCAAACTCAAGCCTCTGCTGGCCCCATGAGGATGACTTAACTTTTTGCCCTACTTGAAGCCCGCAATGGCTCTTCCCTTGACTGCTCAGGGACTTCCCATAGCTTTTCTTTCCCAGGTAGCTTTTTCTTCCTCATATTCCATCATAAAAGCTAAGTTCTTATCTTGCCTTAAATGAGGCCAAACTTTGCCATGGTAAATTTTAGAAAGGTCTACTTCCTTCTGAGGCTGGAGGAACAGCTTGTGAAGACCCAAGCGTGATGATGCAGAGTCCAGATAAACTGAGGGGAAGTGGACCTGGCAGCCTCCTGCCAGGGAAGCAGAACTGGTTTTTCATGATGAAGTCTGTCCTGCTGTTTCTTCTGGCAACACTTTGGGCATTTGAAGCTGTAAGTAGAGGGCAGCACTTTCCTCAAGTATGCAAACAGAACCCTTAAGCGACCTTGTAGTAGTGTTTTATGAAGCAATGATTAGCTTTTAGAGTGGAACAATTTGGCTCTGACTCTGTACGACTTTCAAAAGAAGATCTAGTTTTAAAGCAGGCTTACATCAAACTCAGTGCTGTTTGCATCTGCCTGTGGAAATGTCCCTAGAAGTCACAAACTCTTCTAAGAACTTAAGAGATAATAAAAATTTCTGGTATATGTAGTCAAGAATATGAGAGAGGAATGCTATTGAGGTAAATCTTCAATAATAAAGAAGTGCTGTGAGAAGCTGCACAAAGGCTTAAAGGCCATGTGAACTAAGGCGAAGACCTAAGACAAAGGTGCACTATGCTAATTAATGCTTTCTAAGGATGCACTGCTTGTACATTAACACGCACGAGCCGTGTTACTGGTGTGGGTGGTGTAGAGGTGGAGGCTCCCCTGAGATAACTGGCTGCACGAGTGCAGAGTGGAGTCAGGTTGAAGGCAATCAATGATCCAAGGTGATCAAGGATGTCTCCCTAGGCTGTGAGCCCATGAGACACATGGTGATAACAGCCCTTGCGGAAGCCCTACCATTCTGGCACTGGGAGGCAGCCCTACCCCACGGAATGGGGGTGCTGAACTCCTCACCGTGTCACCAGTGCCCACAAGGGCCGCTGGGATGTGTCTGGATGTGCTGAGCATGCTCGTGCTCGGCCCCATTGGCTTGCTAGTCCCTGCCATCTTTTGCGTGCGTGACCTGCTACGCAGCTGGTCTGTGCTTTCAGGCTGCGTGTGCTGTTTGGCTTGCAGGCCGTGCAGAGTAGGAGGTGCTTTAGCAAAGTGACCTGCGTGGGCCACTGAGCACTGGAGAGTCTGCCATGTGAAATGAGCTCTTACCCTGGGGCTGGTTTTAGCCTATAACTGGCAAAGTGGTGGCAGGGAAGGAAAAGCTCAGCAGTGGCTGGATGAACAACAAACACCTCCCACATCTCTAAGCTCTTGCACAATTTGGGGGAGGGCTCTGCAACTGGGTAGTGAACTGGTTCCTTTGGATGCAGAGGCCTCCCTCTAAGTGTGGGGGCGGGGGTCGCATCTGGGATTTTGGAGGCTTGATGCCCTGACAGCAAAGGAGGCATCCAGCCTGTGGTGAGTTTTCCTGCGGATGCCTTGGAGTGCTGGCAGACTTCTAAAGATGACAGTCTTTCAACCAGGCAGAACCCAATGGAGATGGGGTTTGTGGGGGAGACTGAGTGACCACCCCATACAGGTGTCACCCTTCACATTCAGGAAAATAGAATGCAAGCTTCTTCCTGGCCAGCCTCTGAGGGCAATGGCATGGGCTGCAAGGTAGGCATGGTGGGGAACGTATATAACATGATGCCCAGTGCTGTGGGGATGAACCAATCGTTGCAAACTTGAGAGGTTTTTTTGACAACTTTCTCCATAGGACACCAACCTAGGCTTCCTTCTAAGATAGGTGGATTTGTTGCTTGTTTTGGTACTGCAGTGGGTTTGCAAGCCAACAGGTAAGACCTAAAATGGTTCTTCATGGGGTAAGCTTGTCAAATACAATCTTTCTTGTAGAAGAGACTGAGATGAAGGAGCAGCTGATGCTGTGGTTTGTGCAGGATCTGTGAAGAGTGTGATGAGCTTCCTCAGTGAACCCGTACAAGGCATCCATGGTGAGTTTGGAAATTCTCTGCAAGATAAGATAGACGCAATTCCCCCTCCTTTCCACCTCTCATCACATTAAATCTGCCCACATTTCTTTGCCAGCTGCCCGTGAGTGGACAGGAGGGCAAAGCCTGTTTAAAAGCTTGTTGAGGGGCTGGAGCCCCTGTGGGAGGCTCAGAAAGGACGATGCATGGTCACCACCACGGCACTGCCCACCCTGGAGCTGGGAGGTACCTGGCAGGTACCTCTGTGGAGGCCTGTGCCAAACTGTCACAGTTGCAGGGAACTGTGGTAGATCGTTTTAAGCGTGTTTCTCTTTGGGGTGTGAAAATGCAGTGAATCTTCTCTGAGGTGTTTCTTGTCTCTTAAAGACTTTCCTGCGGGACAGGTGTAAGAGAGCTGTGAAACCTGAAATATTTCAAGTGAGCAGGTTGTGATGGCAAGGTGGTTTTCATAGTAAAATAAATATATACCGAGCCTTTCTTTCTTTGTTTTGTTTCAACACTGGTTATTAATATCCTAGCATACTGTGTAGGTGTCATCTTTGATGCCTGCATGTAGAAATGGGAATATAAATAAGAATCAATGGATTTGGGAATGGGAACTTACATTAACTGCTTAGAAATTGAAGCTAAGTCATTTGTATGGAAGCAGATGAGTACATAATGTTTTGCAGAAAAAAATATTT